ACCTAACTCCCAACAGTCCACAGTGCTGGCACTTGCCAGTAGGATATGCTGAAAAGGCACATGTAAGCCACTGCGATGGTTCAGTAGGTAAGGGTGCTTGCTGCCAAAGCTGACAACCTGAATTTGATCTCTGAGACCCACAGTCGAGGAAGAGAAGTTGGCTTCTGGTATCCACAGTAGTGCTGTGGCATGTGCATGACACCCCCCACATACACACTAAATAAATGCAATCAAAATTAACTAACCCCCTGTAAAGTAGGCACTACCATAAGTACCATTGTCAAGAGGAGGAGAATAAGGCTGAGTGGCTAATTAACTTCCTCAAAATCACAGAGGCAAGAGTGGGCCCAGACAGCTGGTCTTGGAGTCCAGGCAAGAACCATTCTCCCTGGAACTGGAGAGAGGGCTCAGTGGTTAAGAACAATGGCTGTTCTTGCACAGGACTGGGGATCAGTTCCCAGCACTCACATGGTGGCTCACAACGATCTGTAATTTCAGTTCTAGGGGATCAGATGCCCTTTCCTGGCCTCTAAGAGCAGTGCATCTAAATACTGCACATAGCATATTTACAGGCAAACATTCTTACTCATAAAACAAAAATAATTTTTAAGGGACATTTTATCAGTGAGATGAACCATTCTGATGGCATGCGTGCAGCCTGAGACTGTTCCCACTGTGAACACATCAGACACTCTTTCCCCCAGCACATTTCAAATTCCAGAATGGCAACAAGAAAAGGACACTTGTTACATGGTAGGAGTATGGAGGGGGTAGGGCCTCTGAAAACTGTGGTTTTCAGCAAGGGATCACAGAAGGCCTCAGAGAAGGTGATCTCTGAGCAAACATTATGAGACCGGGTGATGCTGGGAACAGAGGTGAGGCAGGCCTGGTCCAGCTGGCAAGGAGTTGCCAATCTGAAAATGGAGGTGCAGGTGGCACACTGGGGTAAACAGAGGACCACAATATACTATGGAAAGGGATTGTAGAACAAGACCAGAAGTGGCAAGGGAGAGCCCCAGGAGGGGTATCGGTGACTGCACCAAATAGCCAAGGGTCCCCAAAACCAGTCCAAGAAAGTGGGACTTTGTATTGAGAGTGCTGGGGAGCCACAGAACACTACTGAGAAGGGCAAGACAGGGTCAGTCCTGCATGTAGGAAATCCCCAAGGCTGGATGAGAAAGGGCTGGAGGGGAGAGCCCAAGATCCAGGGGGCAGGCTGGAGCTAGGGTTCAGGTGAAACAGGAGCCAATGGGCTAGGGCCTGGATCCTGGGGCTGGAAAGGAAACAACAGTGTATTAGGGCTGGGGTTGAGAAATGACAGTCCACGGGAGGCTGGGAGTTAGGAGAAAGAATGGTGCCTAAGGCTGGCCCAAGTGATCAGTTAGCTAGCAAGGTCTGACTCACTCACTGACTTGCTTTAAGGGAGTACCAGCAGGCGCTCGATATGAAGTTCGAAGCCCTGCACAGTGTGGGAGGGAAGTGCCACTGACCCTGACGACAGCAGAGTGGCAGGTACCATGCCGTGTTCACCTTTCAGCTCTCAGTTCTCACTGGATATACCATAAATGACATGGGCCATGCTCTGCACCAGGAGATGCTGAGGTTAGAGCTGATTCAAAGTGGTGAGTAGTGCTGGGTGTGCTGCAGGCCATGCATCAAAGCCAGTGAGAGGATGAAGAGTCTGAGGCCAGCCTGGGCGATGAAACATCTCAGAATAAAACAGAGAGACCCAGGCATGGGAGTACACACTTGTAATCCCAGCACTCAGTGGTGGAGGCAGGAGGATCAGAAGTTCAAGGTCATCCTTGACATTATAGTGAAGTTCAGGCCAACCTGGACTAAATAAGACTGTCTCTAGGGCTAGACAGCTCATCAGTTAAGAACATTTGGTGCTCTTCTAAAGGACCCAGGTTCAGTTCCCAACACCCCATCAGGCAGCTCACAATCACCTGTAACTCTGACTTCAGGGGCTCTGATGCCCTATTCTGGCTTTCAAAGGCACCTATACTTATGTGCACATATCCACACACAGACATAACTAAAAAATAAAATCAGGGCCTGGAGAGATGGCTCAGTGGTTAAGAGCACCGGCTGCTCTTCCAGAGGACCTAGGCTACCCACATGGTAGCTCACAACTGTCTATAAATTCCAGTTCCAAGGTATTCAACACCCATGCATGCATGCAGGCAAAACACCAATGCACATAAAATAAAAATAAATAAATCATTTAAAATGTTAAATAAAAAGACCCTGTCTCTAATAATAATAATAATTTTAAAAATAAAACAGAAAAAGGACTGGAACTATAGCTCAAGGGTACAGCACTTGCCTGCCATAGCATCTGAAAGGTCCTGGGTTTGAGTCCCTGTCAATACACACACACACACACCACAGACAGACAGACGCACAGACACACACACACACCACAGACAGTCAGACAGACAGACAGACACACACACCACAGACACGCAGACAGTCAGACAGACAGAAACACACACCACAGATAGACAGTCAGACAGACAGACACACACACCACAGACAGACAGACAGACACACACACACCACAGATAGTCAGACAGACACACACACACACACACCACAGACAGTCAGACAGACACACACACACACACACCACAGACAGACAGTCAGACAGACAGACAGACACACACACCACAGACAGACAGTCAGACAGACACACACACCACAGACAGACAGACACACACACCACAGTCAGACAGACAGACAGACAGACACACACACACACACACACACACACACTAAATAAATGGCGATTGAGTTGAGTCCCAGGAACCCATAAGTGTCTCAATAAGTAAGTCTGGAAGTATCATCTCTGTCACGGGCTGCTAGAAGCATCCCCAAGCCAACCTGTTTTCTCTCTGGCAAACAGGCAGAGAGCCAGACTTGCTTGCACTTCTGACTCTTGCTGCTTACTCAGCTGGGGGATCTGGCTAGTAGCAAGGCCTCCACAGGCCTCAGTTTCCTTCTCTAGCTTATGAGATTAAGAGTACAGAAGATGAGCCGGGCGGTGGTGGCGCACGCCTTTAATCCCAGCACTCGGGAGGCAGAGGCAGGCGGATCTCTGTGAGTTCGAGGCCAGCCTGGTCTACAGCGCGAGATCCAGGAAAGGCGCAAAGCTACGCAGAGAAACCCTGTCTCGAAAAACCAAAATAAATAAATAAATAAATAAATAAATAAAAAAAGAGTACAGAAGATGTAAATGGATTAATCTCTGCACAGGACTTGTGTCTGCTGGTGCTTTGTACCTACTTCAGGGTCTGCTGTTAGGGTCACGTCCATTTCACATCTGAGTCTGCCTCCTGTATCCTCCCTTATTATTAATCCTCAGTGGGGGTGTGGGGATGGCGGTACTAATGCCAATGTTGTAGCCAGTTTTCGCCTATCTCAGAGGTCCCTTGGGTGCACAGTCCCTGTGCTTGGAATGCTAGGAAATTTGAAGGACTCAGAGGGGGACTCCCAGTATGATAGAGACAGACAGACATGAACTGCCACCACCTTTTTCATTTCAGGTTAGGCCAAGCATTGAGAGAGACTGGCCTGAGAACCAGTCTGATTCAATGCTGCCTATACCAGCTTCTTTCTGAGAAGAGGCCAGGACCTCAGGGATCCAGCCCTAAAACCTCTCATGGAAATGAAACATCAGATTGTCTTAAAGTCAAACTGGTAGCTGGCGCCTTTGAACTTGCTTTTCCAGCAAACACGAGTCTCCTTCCCTTTCTAGCTAAAGAATTTCCTCAAGCATCCCGTGGTTATGTGGGTGAGGCAGTTTCTGAGTTCCATGGAACCAGATGGCTCCCCATGTGGGGTACTTGCAGAGCAGGTAATGCAGCCTGGAAAGTGGTAAGTGACTGAATTGCAGGTCCCACATATAAGTCTCTATTCTGCTTCTCCCTTGCTAAGTGACTTTATGCCTCAGTTTCCCCATGTGTTAAATAGGGACTATGACTCCTCCAGCCCACAGTTACCAAGGGACTGAGGAGGAGGGATCGCGACCCAAGAGGGATCTGACTGTCAGAAACGCACAGCTCTTGATCTTTGCTCCAGGGTCAAAGGGCAACAGAAATTGAGAAGGATCGCCCATGCGGGATATGCTCCTGATCCTGGAAGCTCATAGCTGCGGTCTCAAGGTGCTGGGACAGAGTCGGGGTGGGGAAAGTCACCTTGACAGCGAAGTCGATGACCCTCTTGACAGCCACAAGCGCGCGCAGCTCCGCCATGTTCCTGCAGCAGTCACTGGCCGGGTCGGGTTGCAGCTAAACCAGACCTCAGGTCACGCCAGCCCCGTATCTGTCTCTACGCCTGCGCGCCGCACCTCCAACCAATCAACCTCCGCACAGCCCAGAGGAAACCAATGGGAAGCGGAACTCAGGGAGAGAGGTGGGATCCAGGGCGGGCCGATGGGTGGAGGGGGCGTGGCGCGGAAGTAGGGGAAAGGGCATTTCAGTGAGTGAAATTTGCTGGGAGCTTGTTCGTCCTAGCCCTCCTCCCTCTGCCCCGCACTTCTGTTGTCCCCACCTCTGTGGCTCACATCCAGATTCCCCCCCTCTCCATCATTCCAAGTCACCGTGTCTGTGTTCCCACGCCCGCGGCCCCCTCGCTTGCTTGCCTCCGCGTTCTTTCTGCAGATTCCCTCCACATCTATGCATCTACACTTTGCTCCCCTGTGACTCCCCCGTCTCCGCTCGTCCCCTGCCCCCACATCCCCTACGACTCCCCGTGTCGGCTAATCCTCATACTCTCTCCCTTCGTCCACGTCTCCCGTGACCCCCACCCCGGGTCCATTCCATGTTCCAGTATCCATGTCTTCGCTCCCACCGACCCACATTCCTCCGGATCTCTTTTACTCTACAGGTCCCCACATCCGTGTCCCCGTTGTCCTCAAGCCTATCTACGTTCGGCAGAAAAGCACTCAGGATCGGAACTAGAAGCAATTCCTTTATTCTGCCCCAGTCAGGCCGCATTCACAGGCACACTGGGAACCCGCTGATAGCTTCGGTGCTCTGCATGATCATGTCCGCCAGCAGAAAGCAGAAGCCTGGCAGGAGGGGAGTGCAGAGCCGGGGGAGGAAGGTGGGCCCTGGGGCGGATGACCTGGCCTGCCTGGGGACTAGGGATGGGGGCTCCAAGGGCGTCTCCACCGGGTGTGCTGGAATCTGGAGTGCAGGTGTTGGGGAGTCCCTGGAAGTCATTGTGGGCTTTCCTGGGAGAACAGGTGACTGGGAAGTTTCTGGGGTGGGGAGTCCTCTAGAGGGGTAGTCTCCACCCTCTTCCCCTTGGGCTGGTTACCCGCAAGAAACGAGAAGGGTAAAGCCAGCCATCCGAAAAAGTAGGACCAGGAGAAGAAGACTTCCGGCTTCCAGGCATTCTTTGCAGTGTATCCAGCCAATGCAATCAGCAGCAACAGCCCTGGGCCACGCCCACCCGTCAGGTGAGCGGGACCAGGTGGGGCTGCACCCAAGCCCGCCCCTATTGCCTAGGCCACGCCCTTCAGGACGGCCTCTGGCTGGTCGAAAAGTAGCCCAGCTACCCTTTGGCTCCACCTTCGTGGACTTCTCCCCCTGCCCTCCTGTTTTCTTTTCTTGCTTTTTACTAAAAATAGATTCTTCCCTTATACAGTACATCCTGACCAGTTTTCTCTCGCTACACTCCTCCTAGCTTCTCTATATCTTCCCCCTCCCCCAGATCCACTTCCCTCCGTTTCCTCTTCAGAAAAGAGCAGGCCTTCAGGAGACCACAGCCAGGGCAAGGCAGCCCACTGGGAAGAAAAGAGTCCCAAGAGCAGGCAAAAGAGTTAGAGATACACCCACTTCTCCCGCTGTTAGGAGTCTATCATTCCTGTACTGGACGCCTCCACTTCATCCTTCAGCCATGTCCTTCCATTTCTAACCACATCAGCCTCTCTTGGCCCACTCCTTCAGGATCGCCATCACCACCACCCACTCTCCGACATGGGGATGGCTGCCTTCTCACCGCTGAGAAAAAGTAAGACAATGGCATTCTGGCTACGCAGTGACTCGCCCTCTTGGCACCGAATCCTCATCCCCAACCCCAAAGATATGATACTGAAGGTTGCTGCCAATACCATGCACGCTGCGGTCACCGCCAGGGTGTCTGTAGAGACAGGGTAGCATCAATTGGGCACCCTGCCACGATGAAAGAGCAACCTTGAGCTCTTCTGGCCACCCTCGTCCCGCCACACACTGTGCATCTAGAGCTCAGCTGTGTCGGGGTGTGTATATGGGGACCGATGAGGACACGTAGGAAGAAGGCAGCGAGACAGGTCTGGGGAGGCAGAGCCTTGGTGGTGGAGGAGAGCTGGATCTGAGCCTGGGGTGGAAGGGCACAGCTGGAGCTGGGGGTAGGGGTGGACTCTGGAGTGTGGTCTGATATAGGGGCAGGTGAGGGTCTCACTCTGGCAGGGAATGTTGGAGCAGATGCCATGGCTACACTCCTGCCACAGGCCACTGTGGCCTCCCTGTTGTCGGATCCAGTAGTTGGTAGCAGTGGACAGTATTGTGAGGATGCTGGTCAAGAGATTAAGCAAATTGCCTCCAGTCTGAAGGCTCCTCTTCACCCCCATGCCAAGGAAGCAGCTGCCTAGGACATCAAGGTAGGACCGGCTCATACCCCTGACTGTGGGGGAGGCTCCTCCACTTCAGAAGGCCTCCCTCCCCAAGCACTCCTGCCTGGTGACCTCAAGATCCCCAACACTAGTCAGTCACATGGTGGCTCAAACCTGTAATCCTAGCACCAAGGAGGCTGAGGCAAGAGACTGAAAGTCCAAGGCAGTCCTGGACCACATAATGAGTTCTGGGCCGGTGGACTACAGTGTGAGATTCAAACAAACAAACAAGCAAACAAAAAACAGGAGCTAGAAGTGTAGCTCAGTGGTAGAGTGCTTGCCTGGCGTACACAAAGCCCTGCCTAGGTCCCATTCCCTAGTGTGGTATAAACTAAGCATAGTGAGGGACACCTGTCTTCCCAGCACTTGGGGGATTGTGATGGGGGATCAGAGGTACAAGGTCATTTTTCAGAACATAATGAATGTAAAGCCAGCCTGGGCTACGTGAGACTCTTATCTCAAACAAAACAAAACAAACACAAAGGATTCCATAATCTCCCATCACCCCATGTTCCTGGCCCCTTCCTCAACCTCCTTCCCTAAGAACTTATGACTTCCTCTAAGTCCTAGTGGCCTTTAAGACATCCTCCCTGGAAGCCACACCCCCACGCCCTCCACACCCCCCATGCCCTCATCTTTGCTTCGGGCCTCACAGCTCAGTGACTGCCCTCCAGGGACTGCCCACCTCAGTTGAATGCCCCTATATAGGCCCCTGTTGGCTCAGTGCCATTCCCACCCCTACCCCTACACATATACACCCCAGAAAATGACTCACAGCCTGGTCCCCTGGGACAGATAGCCCACTGGATGGGGGGAGGGAGGGTGGCTCTCTGTGAGGCAGCAGAGATTCCAGAACTCTCTCCTAGTAGCCATTTAAAGGGATACCCTCCCCAAGAAGCATAATCATTTTCTGTCGCTGTTCTTCTGGAATTTTTTGGTTTTGTTTGTTTGTTTCTGAGACAGGGTCTCACCATGTAGCTCTGACTATCCTGAAACTCACTGTGTAGATCATTCTGACCTCAAACTCAAAGAAATTTGCTTGCCTCTGCCTCCCAAGTGCTGGGATCAAAGGCAGGTGCCACTATACCCAGCAGGATTGTTGTTTTCAAACCATATGAGCAGCCCAGGTCTGACCTTGAACTTCTGATTCTTCTGCCTCTACCTCCCTGGTGGTGGGATTATAGGCTTGAACGGCCATTCCTAGCTTCTGTTCTGAGGCAGAGTCTCACTAGGTAGTCCTTAGCTGTTCTAGAACTCACCATGTAGGCCAGGCCGATCTCAAACATGTAGCAGTCCTCCAGCCTCAGCTCCCAAGTGCAGGGAGGGCTTTCTGAGCTGTCATTCTGTTAAGAGAGCCTCTGGAGCTAGGCTCAGAAGTTGAGTTCAGGTCCCAAGGTGGCTCATATCCAAAGGGACTTCAGTTCCAAGGGATCCAATGCCTCTGGCCTCCATTGGGCACCTGCACTCACATGCACATAACCCATACACAGACACATGCGTACACATAATTAAAAATAACAATTTACTTATAAAAATTTAAAAATTAATTTTTTTTTTAAAAAAAGAGGAAGCTGGAAGCTGGGCTCGGTTGCTTCTGTCTGCAATCCTAGCACTTAGGAAGATGAAGCAGGAGGATTACCTTCAGTTTTGAGGTGAGCTTGAGCTATGTGTGAGTTTCAGGCCAGCTAAGCTCCTGTCTCAAAAAGAAAAGGAGCAGGGATGGAGGAAGAACAGATGATGCAGGAAGGAAGAAAGGGAGAGAGGAGGAAAGGAAGGAAAGAGAGAAGGAGCAGCTTCAAAGCTCCAGCTGTTGCATGGCTGATCTAGTTGTTCTAAAAGCTCTCTTCCTTTAACTGTCATGGTACCCCCATAAGCTCTCCTGGTCCCCAGTTCTCTGTCTGTGCAGGCAGGGCTTGCCCCCTTCTCCACTCCCCTGGTAAATGCTGATCTCCTCTGGGTGCCATCATAAGTCTCTCTCCAAGGGAGCCTTCCTCTCCCCAAGGATAGCGACCCTGACGATCTGAGAGAGCAACCAAAATGCCACCTCTAGCCCCAGGTTCCTCCTCTGATCGCCAGATAGCCTCACCTGCTGCTGGCTCTCCTCTATGGCCACTCAACCACATTGCCACCGAGATCACGGGCGTGGAATTGAACTTGTTGTAGCTCTGCTGTCTCACTCACTTTGTCAGACCAGAGCCTCAGGTGCATCCCTTGCTTCCCTTGTGCCTTTGACACAAGGTGCGTCCCTTGCTTCCCTTGTCCCTTCCTACCTGCTCTCCACCCTTCCAGTCTCACCCCAGGTCACTTGAGGGAGACCTGTTTCTCTCACACACACATTTGGCACAGCTTTTCCCCTTTCACAGTTATTGCCCAATTTGCCACCGTTCTCAGGATAAAGCTAGCTGTGGCAATAGAGGCCCTGGCTCCCATCCGCTTCTCTGTCATCGTTTACCACCACCACCACATTCGACATTCTAGACACAAATCACCTTCCGTACCCTTTCCATGTCTCCGTCTTTGGGCACCTCTGCCTGGATTGCATATTCCTGTACTAATGAATATATGTAATCCTAATATTTCAGAGGGTAAGGCAGGAGAATTGCTGTGAATTCAAGGACTGCCTTGTCTCAAAAGGTATAAGAGAGCTGGGAATGTAGCATGGTGGTTAAGGGTTTTCCTTATTTGAAGGAGGTCCTGTGTTCCATTTTCTATGCTAAACCAAAAGAATAGTTACTAAATGTCATCTCTGGTTTAAAAAAAAAATGCCTGGGTTTAGTCTTCCTCCCACATCCTCAGGCTGTGGCTGTCATCTGGCTGGTGTCAAATGCTAGTGGTTAGGGCTTGTTTGTGATACATGTCAGTGGCCTCAGAGTGGGCTCACAGAGAGAAAAGGAAATATCTAGTAAAATGGAGTCTATTGGGGGAAGAAAAGAGAAAGAAACTGAGAGAAAGAAAAGCACTTAAAGAGAGGAGAGACACAGGGAAACTGTGTCCACACATGCCGGAACACACTTCAGGTGGACAAGTCTGCATGGCTCTCCCGCTCCCCGAGGGCTTCTCTGGTTACTTACCATAAGGCTCATGTATGGTTGACTTAGGTGCTAAGGATGGAACTTGGACCTCATTCATGCTCAGCAAGTCTCTACGGCTGAGCCACAATACCTGCCCTCGTTTTATTTTTTGCCTTGAGGCAGGGTCTCACTAAGGTGCCTAGGCCAGCCTTGAACTCACTGTGTATCCCAGGCAGGCTTTGAAGTTGTGATACTCCTTGCTCTGGCCTCCTGAGTAGCTGGGATGGTGGGCTTGGTTTATGTCCTGACTGAATTGATCTTGGAACAATTAGATCTCAGAAGGTTTTTATTGAATGTGTGAAGAAACCAATGAAAGGTAAGGCACGGTGGGAGGGCAGAGACAGACTCCTGCGTTTCTTCTGTAGCTCCTGAGAGGACAAGGCTCCAAGCATCCTGCTGACCCCGCTGTCTTGCCTTCTGTTCACAGAGTTTCATACCCAGCCCGGTGGGTTCTACAGTGAGCACCCAGGCTCAGGCAGCCTGGTGTGGAGACAAGTAGGAGGGGGATCAAGAACTTGAGTGGCCTGCACTGCCCTGCCCCACACCCCAGCGGGGTCCTCCCCGGGGAGGTGGGCTGCATAGTCACCTGCACAGAGGAAGAGGACAGAGGAGACCCAGCCCAGGTAAAAGGACCAGGAGAAGAATGTCTGGACCTGGGGAGATGGAGTCTGGCTCCATCTATGACTGGTGTACACTGCCATGGCCACTATTATGGAGAGCGCTGAGGACAAGAACAAGAGAGAGCTGGCTTGGTCACTGCAGGACTCACCAGCTCTCGAGTGCTCGTGCAGCCCAGTTCCCATTCATACCTGCAGCAAAAGCCATGACAGTTGAGACCAGAGGGCCACGGCCTGGGGCGGACAGGGCCGGATGGTAAGACAGAATCAGGAGGCCCACAGACACCAGGCTCCACAGGGTGGCCAGGATACAGAAGCTCTGTGTCACGTGGATATAACCTAATGCAAGATGAGACTTCTGGGTGTCTGTCCCCTCTGGCCATTCCCACCACCCAGAGCCCATTGTACTTTACCTGCTACTTGGATCCCGTGTGTCGTTGGCCAGAGGCCCGAGTGGGAAGAGTAACTGGGGCCTGTGGCCACTATCCAGAAGTCAGTGCTCAGAGCAATCAGAGTAGAAATCAGGCCCAGGGAGCCAGCAAGCAGAGCCAGGGACCGGCAGGGCTCCATGGACACAGCTCTGGGTTTCCACTTCTTAGGGGATGAAGACACAGATAACCCAGACTATTGGTCTTAGAGACAGAAAAAGGATGTGCACCCAGACTCTCAGGTCCTCTGAGCTAGAGAAGCAGCCAGCAAGCAGTCACTTTGGTTGGGAGTCCTCTGTAGCTTCAGGCCTGGCATCCGACTCTTCTCACACCCTCCCTTCCTGCGTGACTTCCCCTCCCCTCTTGGATTGGCTCCTCTCTTCCTGCGTGGTGGGGGAGGGCCCTGCTGATGTCTTTACTCGCTGGCTATTCTAGGGGTGTCCACCTTCCGTGGTCTAGGTAGTGGTTTAGACTGTTGTCACAGGTTCTGGAGACAGCAGAGAGGGTTTCCTGGAAGACCTTAGGGAGGGGTTTGGGGGGCCCAGAGGTGGGGGGTGGACTAGTCATACTAGGGTGTGAATTAACTCAAAGGGGAGATGTGGCTGAGGGGACAGTTATGTCACACTTTCCTGTGGTTTTGCGCTTCGTTCCTACTCTAACACTAGAGTTACCCACAGTAAAGGGGTGGTGGGCTCACAATACCAGTTCCACGGGAGGAGGGACTTTGTGGGAAGAGAGAGTCCCTGTTCCCAGTTAAGCTTCTGTCCAGGACAGACAGGATTCCAAAAGCTAAAGGAGGGGAAGCCCTTCCAACATCCTCATCTCACACATATAGTGAGAAGTCACCCCACCTGCGTGGGCCCTCCAGCATGGGTGTCTTATCACCGAGATGAGGGTGTCTGGGGAATGGAAACCAAGTGACAATTCAGGGTCTTCTGCCTCTGTCCTCCAGTAGCGGTCAACACCTTCTCTACAGGGAAGCACAAAATGTCATCTCTTAATATGGTGGTGACATAAGCCTGTCTTCCCAGCACTCAAGAGATCTGAGGCAGGAGGATCATGAGTTTAAGGCCAGCCTGGGCCACATGAGACCCTGTCTTTCCAAAAGCATAAAATAAAATAGAGAAGGGGACAAAGTTGTGCTGTCCCTGGTGAAGGGCCCATTCACGGAGGGAAGGGGATATAAGGAATTGCCTGGAGCTTAAGTGAGTGGGGAGCAGGGTCGCTAGGTTTTTATAGATCAGTTTGTTCATTCGGTTATCCCACATATCCATCTCTAGACCTTAAACCATGGCTGTTTCTGAGGCAGGGACCCCTTTATCTTGTTCCCATCCCTATAGAACTGAAGGAGAGAGGCCACCATATCAGAACACACCTGTTCCCCGACCACCACTCTAGCCCGATTCTCTCCAAACCAGCCCTGTGAGGACTCACACTTTGGTAGTTTCACATCAGTTTTATTAAATCCCAAAATGTCTCTCTAAAAGAGTTTCCATTTTTCTACCACCCCTCGGGGCAGGTGGGGGTTCACATCTCAACTCCCTCCCACCTGACCCACAGAGGACAGAGGGATCAGGGGCTCCCCTGTCTAGAATCCAGGACTGAGCCCCCTCATTCCCTCAGGAGCCAGGATTTCCAGCCCCTGGGTCCTCCCCTTCTTCTTCAGTGCCCTCATTGTAACTTTCAGCTGCAAGGTTTTCTGCAAGGCTCAGCGTGGTGTGGATAGGCGCCGGCACTCGTGCATCCGGTAGGCACACATGTAGAAAATTCCTGTGTGGACAGAATCCGTTGATACCCAAAACTCTTTGGGCCTACCTTTCCATCCCAAGAGACTTCTCATTTTCCCCTCCCTTAGGGTCACCAGTCCCCAGACCCCTTAGATCCTTAGATCTGTGTAGGATATCTTGTCAACTCACCCTCTGAGGTTGCTCGCCTTGCCCCAGATTTCAACCTTCCCACCCCTCTGCCTCAGTACCTGCAAAGAAGGTCATGAGCAGGGCCACCCAGCCCAGGATGTAAGACCATGAAAAGCGCCAGTCCCCAAAGCGGCGGCCGAGGAAACTGACAGTGACTCCGGTGTAGATGGCCAAGGCCAACAGGACAAAAAGAGCTGGGGAGAGAGCATGGGGTGAGATGAAGTGGGATAAGAGAGTTGGAGATAAGGAAGAGGGGAGGTTGATGGGGGTGGGGACAGTAGTGACAGTGAAGGGGATATGGGGTTCAGTGTGGGTTCAGTGGGGGATGGGATTGGGTGAGGATAAGGCTGGGAAGCACAGTAAAGCATTTGACAGTTCCTTTTCTCTGGATTCTGGAAGGGGAACTAAATCCTTGCAGCGTTCTGAGTTAGAGAGTGTCTTAATTACTCTAAAGAACTCCTTGGATCACACTAGAGTTTGTATGAACTAACATGTGGCTTAGGTTGCCCATCAGAAACATCCACCAGGGGACTGGAGGCTGTGGTGGTTTGAATAAGAAGGGCCCCCATAGGCTCGTATTTTTTAGTACTTAGTCATCAGGGAGTGACACTATTTGAAAGGATTAGAAGGATTGGGAGGTGTGGTCTTGTTGGAGGAAATGTGTCACTGGGGGTGGGCTTTGAGGTTTCAAAAGCCCACTCCAAGCCCAGACTGTTTCCCTCTTGGCCGGTGGATCAGTATGTAGCTCTCAGATACTTCTCCAGCACAGTGAATGCCAACATTCTCCCTACCATGAAGATAATGAACTAAATCTCTGAAACTGTAAGGCAGCCCCAATTAAATGTTTTCCTTTATAACAGTTGCTGTGGTCATGGTGTCTCTTCACAGCAATGACTATTAAGACCCTGAGCCTGAGAGCACCGCCTCTGGGACAGGGGAAGCTGGAGGTTAGACAAAGTCATGGGCAGTGAGTCCATCTGTGATGGTTGGTCTTCAGTGCCAGCTCTACTGGATTTAGAATCACCTAGGACACATACACTTGTGTGTGTTTCCAGATAAGTTATTTCATTTATGTGTGTGTGTGCCACAGCACTTGTAAGGAGGTCAGAGAACAATCTGTAGGAGTCTGTTCTCTCTTTCTCTGAGTTTATGGGGACATAGACTCAGTTTGCCAGCCCCTCCAGAGCATTTTTGTTAAGGTGGAATATACACCCTGAATGTGGACAGCAGTATCTCATGGGCTGGGGTCCTGGACAGAGTAAAGAATAAGAAAGTGAGCTGAGTACCAGCTGTCATCTCTGTTTCCTAACTGTGGATGCAATATGACCAGCTGCCTCATGTTTCTGCCATCGTGATTTCTTTGCCACGATGGTCTGTGCCCTCAAACTGAGAGCCAAACATACCTTCCTACCTTCATTAAGTTGTTTCTTGGTAAGTATTTGGTCATAGCAATGAGAAATGCCACTAATGCACTATTCATCTCCTGTGGGATGAAATTCTGACAGGATCCACCCTACGTGTCTTCTTAGTTGGTCCTGTGCTGAATGTCTATAAAGACTGTCACTTAAGTGTAAATATTTTTTTAAGTTCTATGGGGTGTTAGTTAGTATTAGAATCCCTGCCAAGAATCCCCTAGTGAGGGGCTAAGAGTGTGGCTCAGTGGTAGAGCTCCTGCCTATCATGCCCCAGTGAGGGGCTGGGGTGGTACTAGTGGTAGAGCCTCTGCCTAGAATTCTCCAGTAAGAAGCTAAGAGTGGTAGAATGTCTTAGTGTGTGTAAGTTCCTGAGATTTTATTCTCATCACCAGGACAAGAGAGAGAAAGGAAAGAAGGGAGGGAGGAAGGGATTGCCTCTAACAAAAAAGCGGAGTTAAAAGCAAAGAAGTCAGTGGAGCTGGGTCTAGGGATGAGGGAAGGAACGGAGTGGAGAGTGACAGGAAATGGGTGTTGGACTGGGGCTGAGGAGCTGGAAAATTTGGGTGGGGAAGGAAGGGTGGTATCACTCACTGGAGGCAAAAAACATGATGCCGGCAGAGAAGGGCCTGGAGAGGCGGGTGAAGGTGGACTGCTGTGCAAAGGCTAGGACACCCATGATGATGCCCGAGGTGGCACACAGGGCAGACAGGATCATGAAAGCCCGGGTGGCATTCCAATATGCTGTGGGGACACATCACAGTCACTCCTGGGCCACTACCTCTGGGATCACTGTGCCTTGCTTTTCTCCATGTATCTGACTCAGCTCTTCCCTCTTTTGACATAGCATACTCATCCTCCAAAGGCCCAGCTCTCACAACCTCTTCTGGTGAGTGCTGTTCTGATCCTGGGCACTATCCTCACACTCTGCTCTGGGTTCTGTCTCCAGCTTGACTTCTCCTCAAGGAAGGGACTGGCTTGGTTCTTGCTGTGAACACCCCCAGCATTAAGTGTGGCTTACACACAGGTCTTGTGAAATGTTTATTGAGTGAATGTTTCCCCATATGCTCTTGATCATAATCTCTATCTTTCGATCCTTTCCATTTCATCCATTATACTTTCCTGCATCCAAAAAGTCCTTTTCTTTTGCTTTAACTATATTTGTGGTGTCTGAAAAGACCAGGGCTGGCTACTTTACTCTCCATTACATCCCCGGCTCCTGACACCTATCTGGCACATGATAGGTGTTTAGTAACAAGTTTGGAGACCCAGTCTCTTATAGCCCACTCTTCTTGTTCTTAAAGTCATGATGTAGCTAAGGTTGACCTTGAGTTCCTGACTCTCCTGTCTCTACCTTCCAAGTGCTAGAATTACAGGTTTGAGATACCACATTTTGCTATGTTTTTGAGACAGGCTCTTGCTACATAGTCCAGGCTGTCCTGGAAGTGTAGGTCCTCCTGGGTCTCCTGAGTTCTTGAATTGTAGGTGTGTACCACCATATCTGCCTCTGTCCAATCCTTACAGGCAACTCAACTGCCTGCTGGCACTCCTGGGATATGGAAGGAGGCTGACCTATGAAAAGTGCTTGGGCTAGGTAAGCACTTAGTAGGTTTAGCTTATTTTTGTTGTTTTCAGGAATAAAACTCAGTAATTATTAATATACTGTATAAAATCTTGTGCAGTGTAACATGATGTATTATGATATATCAGCTTATATACTGTATTGTATGATACATGAAACAAAACATTAAATATTACTAAATTCCCATGCTATAGAGAATATATTATGTAAACTAGAGCATATGATTCATTATTATTATATATTCATACCTTATGTATACTATGTAAAATACTTCTCCATGTTACACTTCTTTCATCGTGTGTGTGTGTGTGTGTGTGTGTGTGTGTGTGTGTGTGTGTGTGTGTGCATACATGCTTGTGTCTGTGTCTGTTTGTGTGGGTGCATGTGTATGTGCATATTGAGATTCAAGGTTGACCTTGGGTGTTGTTCCTCAGGAGTTGTCCACCTTGGTTTTTGAAATGAGGTTGCTCACTGGCTTGGAGTTCACCAAGTAGGCTGAGCTAGCTGGCCAGTGAACCTCGGGGATCTACATCTCTCTCTGTTGCTTCAGGGTTAGAATTCATGTACCCTTTATTTGTTTGGATGATGGGCAATCCTCTTACCTCAGCCTCCTGATTCTGGAATTATAGATGTAAGCTACCATGCCTGGCCAGCCAGCCAGCCAACCTGCTTGTCTGTCTGTTGGCCTGTCTGTCTACCTATGTCTGGTGATTTGAATGAGAATAAACCCCATAGGCTCATATATTTGAATGTTTGGTCCCCAGTTGGTGGAACTGTTTAGGAAGGATTAGGAGGTATGGCCTTTTTGGCAGGAGGTGTGTCACTAGGAGTGTACTTTGAGGTTTCTAAAGTCCATGCCAGGCCTAGTCTCTCTCTCCCTCCCCCACTCTCTTTCCCTCCTTCCCTCCTGCTTGTGGATTAAGAGGTGATCTCTCAGCTACTGCTGTAGCACCATGCCTGCCTGGCTGCTGCCATGCTCCTCATCATGATGGTCACGGACTCTAACACATTGAAACTGTAAGCCCCAATCAACTCTTTCTTCTGTAGGTTTCCTTGGTCATGGTGTTCTGTCATGGCAATAGAAAAGTAACTAAGATACTTCCTACTTATCTATCCATCCACTCACCCGATCCTATCTATCATCTAGCTTGTCCTATCCTTCCTATCTATCCATCTATCTATTCTATCCATCATTTTCTACATTATTTATACATTTATCCACCCTTCCCATCATATAGCCTATCCTGTCTGTCCATCATTCTATCCATCATATTTCTTTTTTTGTTTACCTTTTGTTTTTTTCTTTTTTTATTCATTATTATTTCCCCTCTCATCCCTTCTCCTGCCCCCCCCCATGCATCCCCTCCCATCCCTCATCCCCTCCTCCAACAAGGTAAGTTCTCCCATGGGGGGAGGGACAGCTAAGCCTGGTACATTCAGTTGAGGCAGGACCAAGCCCCTCCCCGATTTATCAGGGGTGAGCAAGGTGTCCTACCATAGGTAATGGGATCCAGAAAGCTGGCTCATGCACCAGGGATAGATCCTGATCACACTGCCAGGGGCTCCTCAAACAGACCCAGCTACACAACTGTCTCCCGTATGCAGAGGGTCTAGTCCAGTCCCATCTAAGTTCCATGGTGGAGTGGAAGAGCAATGAAAAAGATATCTTGATAGAAGGAGACATTATGGGGTAAGGGGGAAACCTGGTGCTAGGGAAATTCCCAGGAATCCACAAAGATGACCCCAGATTAGATTATTAGCAACAGTGGTGAGGATGCCTGAACTGGCCTACCCTGGTAATCAAATTGGTGAATACTCTGTCATCATAGAGCCTTCATCCAGTAACTCATGGAAGCAGATGCAGAGACCCACAACCATGCACCTGACTGAGCTCTGAGAGTCCAGGTGAAGAGAAGGAAGAGGGGTTACATGAGCAAGGGGGGTCAAGATCATGATGGGTAACCAAGCTCAAAGGAACTCATGAACTTTATCCATCATATTTCTATTCTATCTATCCATCCATCCACTCTATCATCTTTCTTTCCTATCTATCTATCTATCTATCTATCTATCTATCTATCTATCTATCTATCTATTTATCTACTATCATCTATTCTTTGTCCATTCACCTATCTACCCATCATCTCTATATCATATATATATATATATATATATATATATATATGATAATCAGTCAGTCAGCCACCTATTCATCCATCCATGTATCCATCCATCTATAGGTACATGGCCTGGTACACAGTAGATAGCAAAAAGTCTTTCATCTGGCATGAGGTCATCAACAGCCTCTTGTGGTCCCTGTCCCTAACACTGTTTATTGGCTTATAGCATTTGTTTGTTGTTTTTTGAGACAGGGTCAAACTATGCAGCCTAAAACTCACAATCCTCCTGTTGCCACATCCCAAATGCTAAGATTATATGCATATGCTAACATACCCAGCTCATAGCAGATATTTGCAAGACACTGTTCTGACAACCCCAGTTTCATTGCTGCATCTGACACCATTTTGTGTAGGAAAATGCTGCCCCATTAACCTAACCACTAAACCTTACACCCTGTCCCTGCAACTAGAAACAACCACAGATCCCAAGTCCATTCCACCTCCTGTTGAGTACCCTAGTGCCAGTGCATCTGCCCCTCGGAGTCACCATACTTTCTCTTAGAATGTCAGGAATGATGGCTGTGAGGCTGTGCTCTGGAGGAGGGCTAGACCTCAGCACCACTCAAACCCTGGCCTCAAGGCTCACCGATGCTCTCCGTCTGCAGGAAGCACTTGCTGCCCAGGCAGTAACGCCACAGGCCCTGGTGTGCAAAAGACCCCGACAGCCGGTACTGCATCCAGTGGTCCGTTGCTGTGGCTACCACCAACAGGATGGTCCCCACCCAGGCACAGAAGAGGCCGCCACCCATGAAGCTGTACATGGTGATCTGTGGAGAGGGGAGAGCTGAGGTTATGAGTGGGTATCCTGGGCCTGAGAGAGGAGGGGGGGTCTGGACCCCTGGGTTTGAGAGGAAGGCTGGGGAACGGACCTATGGGCCTAAGGAAGGGGAAGAGGGATGGAGACTGGACTCTTGGGTCTGAGGGAGGAGGGCAGGTGCCTGGACCCCTCGGTCTGAGGGAAGAAGGCTGGGAATCTAGGTTCTTCATTCCCGATAGGAAGATGTTCATGAGCCTCAATTCTTGGCTCTTGGAGAGCAAGGACTAGAGCAGTGATTCAAGTCCCCAGGAGAGAAGGGCCTGGGAGCCTGGACTTCTCAGGTAAGGGGCTGCAGGTCTTGCTCATACCTACCTGAGTGGCGGAGTCCGTTCTGAGCCCTCCTTCTGCCGTCGCCCCTCTGTGGAGACTGAGCCGCCGAGCCAGGTTGCTGGCATCTCTGCCTCGTGGTTTCCCCAAATCCCTTAAGCCTCCCTACACAATGGCTGCATGGCCCAGCAGCTTCCAGCAGGCAGAAACACAGTGGCAGCAGAGGCCTCAATGGAATTTGCTGAAACAGGGGACAAGGGGGCCCCATCAGCCTCTGTCTGTGACCCTCCCCATCTCGCAGGCTTTACTTCCAGTCCCCACTCTGGGGAGCCTGAGCCTCGCAGGAAGCATGGCCCACACAAAAGAGATAGATAGAGCAGAGACCTTTTATTGTTCACCTTGGGCTTCCCAGCCCGAGGGACAGGAAACAGCAATGGCGGGGGTGGATACAGGTGTCTGGACAGGTCAAGTCAAGGGGTTCCTTGTGGGGTAAGATGAAGGGCTTCTCAGGGTTGGACTGGGGCTGGGGTTGAAGATGGTGTAACATGAAGGTGAATATGAAGGTGGTATGAGATGAGGAGAATACAAAAAGGACCAGAAAGAGGGGACTTGGAAGGCTGAGATAGGAGGATCGCAAGTTCAAGGCCAGCTTGGACACTTGGTAGACCCTTTCTCAAGATAAAAATAAAAGAGGATTGCAGTTTAGTTCAGTGTTTGACTGCCATTCGGGAGGCCAGCACTGAAAAAAAAACAGCAAATAAACAAACTAGGAATGAACATGGGTCAGAACTGAAGGCCAAGAGGGGTGTGGGGAAGGGTGGGCAAATGGGCTGACTGTGGAATGGAGAGAGGAAGGGCTTTGGGGTGATGATTTGGTCTGGAAATGTGGTTGGAGCAGCCTGGGGCATTGAGAATAAACTGGGATAGTAGCTGGGTTTGGGTTGCTAAGTCAGGTTTAGGCTTTACAAGGTGATCTGCAGGAGGCCTTCAGAGGCTGTGGTTTGGAGACCCGGGAGGTTGTAGAGATGGTATGTCTTGAGGGTACCTCTGAAGGATTAAGAACACTGTAAGCTCTGGGTAGCCCTGGGCAGCCAAGTACTGGGTGCTCTTCTGGGTCCTAGTAGTCTGTCTCCCAGTCTTCAGACAAAGGTGCTGCAGGCAGGGGTGGTTCCAGTCCTCCAGCTTCCTTCTGCTCCTCCTGGGATGCTGGTGTCGCTGGTTGGGTCTTGGGGCCAGCCCCAGGGCCTCTTCCCATGCTCCTCTCCAGCTCTCTGGCTCTCCCAGGGCTCCATCGTGACTGGCCCCGGCCCCGGCCCCGGCCCCTACCCCTGCCCCGGGAAGGCCTGCGCTCAATCTCACAGCCCCCACGGGCCTGGTCCCATCTCCTGGGAGGTCTCCTGACTGTGTCTGGTGCCATGTGGCACGGCTGGGCAGGGCAGGAGCAAGGGGGTAAGGACTGTTGGAAGTTGTAGGTCCCCAGGAGGGCACTATGTAGGAGGTAGGACAGAGTGTCCAGGCGGATGGGGACAGTGACAGAAGCCAGTTGCTCGGGGAGCCCCAAGTGGGCTGGGTCTAGGGTGCTCAGAAGTGAGGGTGCCAGGGCTGGGGTGGCTGAATCAGGCCATGCCTCAGTCCCGGCTAACGGCAGAGAAAGGTTGTCCCTAGGAAGATAAATAAGGCCGGTCAGTACATCAACTACCTGGTACCTTTGCACCGTCCCAGCACCCAATACCTCAGTTCCAATTCCCAGCTCTAAGTGTCTAAGGCTTAACTTTGTAATTAATTATTTTACTTATTTATTTTGAGACAAGATCTCATGTAGCCAGGCTAGTCTCACACTCTGCTCTGAAGCCGAGGATGGCCTTGAACTTCTGTCCCTTTTGCTTCCATATCTGGAAGTATCTTGCTCAACAGTTGGCTACCAAAGTCCTCCAGAGAGTTCCTAGGTCATAATACCTTAGCCTGTCTATTTGGTTTTTAAATGGTACTTTCAGTTCAAGACACTCCTGGCTCTAATATTCCCTGTCCCCTCTTCTTCATGAGGCTCTTTCCTGGAAGGTTTTTATCTCACTCACCCACTGCACGAAGTCTTATCTTTTCGCTCTTCCATCTTCTCTACGCGTCTGAAATCTTTTCTAGATCCTTCTGGGGCTTTAACAGGAAGGGGAGGGGCAAAAGAAGAAAGGCAAGGCCCATAGAAGCATGCAGCTCTGGGGCGGGGCTAGCGGGCTGCAAGGAGTTGCCATTGGGCAGCCTCGAATATCCTCCCACCTAGATAGAACTGTCACTCATTTAGATCAGGGGACCCAGGCCAGCTCTCCAACCCCCAACTCTTGCTTGAACCTACGGGTCTAGACCACAGGCCTCCTCCCTCAGACTCAGGGGTCCAGGCTCCAGCCCTCAGATCCTCACCCTCCTCACTTAGATCCACGGGTTAAGACCCAGCCTCCTCCCACAGACCCAAGGGATCCAGGCCTAGACTCACAGGTCTCCCCTGTATTTATACAGTTGCCTTCAGGCTGTTATTAAGAATTGCTGTGATTTTTAGACTGAGGACCCTAGGTCATGGTAAACTTAGGCATCCTGGGGGTGGATTCTGTTACATGTGACCGAAGTTTGCCTAGCCTCTTTGCTTCGGTTTCCACGTTTTAGAATGGGGCTAATGTTATTGGTTCTGGTGAGACTTCTATGACATCTCTTGACAGTATGTGTGCAAAGCTGTAAACACTGTCTTAGGTCCTATTATGGGTCTATAATCTCTAAGGTCATTCAGAGATTCACCAGTCTGGCCATTAATAAATTTTAAACAAAGAAGAGGCTAGAGGCTTTTATTCAGATACTAGTGCGGGGTCTACACCCAGGACTCCGGATTCCCGAATACAGCCCGCCACATGAGTCAGGGGTTTATAACGTCAAGGAACATAAAGTTACATTCTGATTACAAGCAAGCTCAAGGTTGTCTGAAGCAAAACAAGCTTTTGTTTACAGAAACAAAAGCAGCAGTCAACCTTATGACCTAGTTTCATGCATAAACAACCGTTTTGTTAAAATTGTACAAGACCAGGCAATTTTAAAACAACCCTTAACCCTTAATATTTGGAGGTCCAATTGTGCTTTACAGTTCTCTCTTTTTTTTTTTTTTTTTTTGGTTTTTTCGAGACAGGGTTTCCCTGTGTAGCTTTGCGCCTTTCCTGGAACTTGCTTGGTAGCCCAGGCTGGCCTCGAACTCACAGAGATCCTCCTGGCTCTGCCTCCCCAGTGCTGGGATTAAAGGCGTGCGCCACCACCGCCCGGCCCGCTTTACAGTTCTCTTAAGCACAGTAATTTTTAAACTTTTAGCCATCAACATAACAATAGCCATCCCACTGCCATTAGATATTTATCCTTATTTTTAATTATGTATGTGCATGTGTGCATGTGTGTGCGTATAAGCACAGTACATGCTGAGGCCAGAAAAGGGGGGTGGCGTCGGATTTCCTGGAGCTGGAGTTACTGGTGGTTGTTAAGCTGGGAAAACTGAGCACAGATCCTCTGTAAAGCAACAAGCATTCTTAACCAATGTCGAGTCATCTCTCCAGCCCCTTAGCTGGAGACGCTGAGATCTTCTGATTGTCCCAGTAGTTTGTTAAGAAGCCATTCTGTCTATTTATTTATTTAAGGCATATTTATTGAAAGTTGGCTGGCGTTGTTGGTGGAGGCAGATCATCAGGAGTTCAAGGTCATCCTCACCTACACAGGGAATTCCAGGACAGCTTGCGCTACATAAGACGCTGCTTCAAAAACAAAACAAAACTCAACCAAACAGAGTCTCTGAAGATAAATCAGGCCAAAGAGGGCCTTTGGAATAGGTGCTTAGGGAAGGGTATCATAGGAAGGTTCCAGAAGACCTGGAGGTTGACTGGTCTAGTAGACAAAGCAGAGTAGGACTCTGGTCACAGCAAGCACAGGAATGAGGAAGGAAAAGTCTGGATTTTCTTTTTTCAATTTAATTAAATTATTTAATTTTTTTGCTAGTCTTCATGTAGCTAAGGGTGGCCTCATGCTGACCATGTAGCTGAAGATGACTTTGAATTTCTGCTCCTCCTCCTTCCACCTCCCGAGTGTCGGGATTACAGACATGTGTCACCGCATATGTTTGATGTGCTGCTGGGTTGAACCCAGAGCATTGTGCACTCAAAGCCAGAAGTCTGCTGACTACCTACATCCCCAGCCTAAGATTTTGAACCTTTGGTTTCCTTTTTTTTTCTTTCAAATTTGTTTTTGTAATGCTGGAAACAAAAGCTAAGATGTCTTTTTTATTGTTATTATTTTATGAGAATGGGTGTTTTGCCTGCATATATGTCTGCACCACACGCATGCAGTGCCTGAGAAGGTCCGAAGATGGCAACAGATCCCCCTGGAACTGAAGTTGCAGATGGTTGTGGGACACCATGTGGGCACTAGGAATTGAACCCTGGTCCTCTGCAAAAACAGCAAGTGTTCTTAACTGCTAAGCCATTTTTCTAGTTCCAAAGCTCATATGCTCAGCAAGTACCCTTCCATTCTTCCACTAGCCACGCTCCTAACTCCTCCCCTTCTTTTCCCCATTCCTCTCTCCTCCCTTCTCCTCTCTCTTTCCAGAGTCTCATTAGCTTAGGCTGTCCTCAAATTTGTTATGTAGCTGATGAAGACCTTGAACTCCTGATCCGTCTGTCTCTTGCTTCCCAGTACTGGCATTATAGTAAATAGTTCATCCTCCTTTCCTCCCTTCCCTCCCTCCTTTCCTCCCTCCCTTACTTCCTCCCTCCCTCCCTCCCTCCCTCCTTTTCTTCTTCCCTTCCTCTCTCCCTCCTTCCCTCCTTCCCCCTCTGTCCTCTCCCTCCTTCCTTCTCTCCCTCCCTTTCTTCTTCCCTCCCTCCCTCCCTCCCTCCGTCCCTCCCTCTCTCCTCTCTCTCCCTCTTTTTAAAAGCACTACTTGTATGGAATCCAGGGCTTCTGGCATGCCAGGCAAGCCCTCTACTGCTGAGCTGTATCCCTGAGCCCTATTTCATTGTAAGAGAATGGGAGTGCTTGGGCTGCTGATATACACCTGTAACCCTAGCCCTGGGGAGACAGGCAGATACAGGAGGGTTGGGATCAACCCAGACAAGTTCCAGGTCTCCATGGGCTACAGAGGTGGACTCTATCCTAATAATAAACACTTTGAGCGATTTGAAGCTCATGTGTGACATAATTTGACTTATGCTTTGGAAAGAGACCTTGCCTGTGGTTGGAGAGTGGGTTTTGATGTGTAGTGAACCTGGAAGCTGAAGGCTAAGTTGAGAAGTGTTTGAGAAGCAGGACAACCTATTGGACTGCTGGAGTGGGTCCCCCAAATCAAAGATGACACAAGGTGTTTGTTTGTTTGTCTTCCCAGTGTTAGAGGCTGAATCCAGGACCTGGTACATTAGACAGGCACTCTACCAGCGACTGAACCCCAGACCCTCTTTTATTTCTTGCTCTGCTCCTTAATTAGTGTGTGACCTTGAGCAAGCTACATGGGCTTTCAGAGTCCTTGTGTGTGCCCATTTCCAGAGTGATGATGGGATTTCTCCTAGCCTATTCTTTTATTACTACTTTCCAGGTTTAGCTCCTCTGGGATCAGGGGAAACTCTCCATCTTGGCTGCCTGTATACCTGGCCTTTTAAGAGCAGCTCCTTCCCTTGGCTTCGGCTCCGACCCTAGGTAGGTGGTACCTCCTTCTACCTAGGAAGTGTGTTGCACGCAGTTCCTAATCTGGGTAAGTAAGCCATTAGGTAAGTTCTGGGGTTTGCTGCAAACTCCAGGGACTTTTTGTTCTGTCCCTGCAAGAAGAGGCAATGCAATTGGTTAGGAGACTGGTTTAGAAAATCCATCTCAAAGTCATTGTGAGGGTCACAGCGGTTTAGAAATCAGCAGAGACGGAAGCCCTGGGGACTTGTGGGTCATGGGTGTGACTTCCAGCCAGCATGCTGAAGTGAAGTCTCGCCTCTCACTGCTCTGCAGAGTTGTGGCCCCTCAGCCAAGTTAATCTCTTCCTGCTTTAAAATGC